TAGGCCACTGCACTTACAGAAAGTCAAGTTCTCCCCTAAAACACGTTATGTATTTTGGGCCTAATACAGCTGGAGACATAAAATGATCAGGCACGATCACTGAGGCAGAGTTGCGCATTTCTCCCCTTCCCCCGAGTTGTTCCTCAGGGGTCAGTCGAGTACTGAGAAAGGTACATTAAAATTACAGAGTCTCCTTGTGGCTAATGGTCACTGGATATTTTAGGTGCCTAATTTATTATCAGTGATGTAGCCTCTGGGGAAATTCTAGATCATTAACTAAAAGAAAGGCTACATCAATGGACTTTTAAAAGCGTACACCAAAAGAAGGATTGCATTTTATTAATTATACTAAGGACATTACGATATTATTCTTATATAACTCTACCACAGTCATTAGGTACATCATTTCTGATTAAAGTGATTCCAATACACTCTTTTACCAGTTTAGTCCTACGGAGGGCTGTCATAGAGGTCTGTTCTAAGAGGCTATGCAGTGTCTCCATAAGTCAGCTCTTAAAATGTACAGAAGTTGTCATCACATATCTTAGGCTTCTTACCAAATATTTCTGGTGCTGTAAAAGAATGTGCATTCATGTTGTAATGGTGTGATACTTTTTCATCCAGAAGTTTGATCATACTTAATCAAAAATAAAAACGACAATGCAAATCACACTAGCTTGTCGTAGAAACCAATACTTTAATGCATATTTAAATGAAATCTTGTAATTTAGTTATCCAAAGGTAGCATCCTACCAAGGTTAAGTAGAAATATACAAGATCCACAGTCAATGGTTTTCCTATAAACTATTAGCAAGGAAAAGAAGCAATTACCCATAAACATGTGAACATTTAAAACCAGTAATGCCCCTGAAATTAAGTACAAAAGTCAACTCCATCTGCATTACCGTGTAAGGCTAATAGAAAACTGAAGATAACTACCAGAATACAAATGGCCATCAGGTAAATTTTAATTACTGTTCAATAATTCATTCTTTAAAAAGACAATGCATCCTGATAAATTCTGGCCATAGGGACAGGCATTTTTTCCTGCAAAAGCACTTCTCTTCTGGTTCCTGGTACTGTCTGTGCCCCTTATCTAGCACCGGTCCGCCTTCATGGCAACACAGGTGATTACATTCCAATGGCATTTAACATAAATTGCACCAAACTGCCTGTAATTCCATTTTAGACGGAATTAATTAACTTCTCAGTAGGTGGCTGAAGTCCTGAAGAAATACTTGACTGCTTCACCTACCTTACCCGGGATGCCCCTAATCACAGCAACTTCCATTTTCAATAAATAATCCCAGGTAAAATACATTTAGAACCCTAAAGGGTACAGATAAGACATTTATAATAAATGGATTTCGTTTTCCACATACACTCACATTTAAAAGAGGTCATGGAGCTTTGCAGACAGCGAAGGGGGATATAACAAAACTCAGCAAGAATTGGCATGCCTGGTCTTTTTGAGACCACCTTAGGAGGTTATACTAACAAAACGCCTTCTTTGTCCTTGCAAGATGTCTAAACAAACGGCTCACCACCTTGTGCAGTGAAAAATAAGATGATCATAATGCTGTTCTAAGTAATTTATATCCCCGTACTTGAAATGTAAATGTAATTGTCTAAAACATTATCTTCAGATCATTAGAATTATCATGTTATCATGAAATAGCTATTGTTTCTACTATGTTTCTCCAATTACAATATTACCATGGTCTCACTGCTAACTCTTTGCTTCAAGTTTATAGTCTTCATATATCAAGAAACAAATT